TTAAGAGTGGTAATGAATACGGTCGCATTGTTTATTTCCTGTTTGTACATATTCTATTACTTTCATATATGGATCGGACCGAAACATTTAGAGTCTGCATGTTCACAGAAAAAAAAATTCATTTTCAAGACTATTTAATGGTAAGATAGAGAATATGTAAACCATAAAGTAAAACTGTACTGCGTTATGGTTATTTAATGTGAAACATATGTAGAGTTTGAACATCATAAACGACATCATCGTCCCACACTTTGAAACTACCCACTCCATAACAACACTACCTACCTTGGTAACACACTATTCGCCCTCTGACGCCAATATTTGGAACTATGATATGACGTAAGTTCCAGGTCTCAAGATCTTTCCTACTAACCCTACTCTGGTGCCACTTTATGGAAATAAGACGTCATGTGCCCTCCTGGTCTCAAAAAATATCTCCGCTGGGTGGCACCCTATGATCTCCATTCTCTGACGACTCCACATTGAAGCTGCTCCTTTGGGCATAGAATGGGCAGGCTAATGTCATGATAATGAATAGGAACAGTGTGTTAGAAGTAGCTAATGAGAGTAAATATGTCATGATAAAGAATTATGTAGAATGTGAATTGCGAGATTAAGGATGCTGTGATTAGAAAAAATTAATATACGTTTTATTTTGATTATTTTAGTATTAATTTAAATACTCACAAAATAATTAAACTGTATTATCAGTGTTTACCCAAAATAGGTATTTTAAGACTAGGTATAAAAATGATGTTGTGGTTGTTTCAAAATAATATGTTTTTTTGTGGAAAATTTGGAAGTTTCAACAAATTCAACACGTGAGCTTCATGATACATTTTATTTCTTGTAGATAGGAAAGTAAATACAATCTCTTCTTAAGTAACTTTAATATACGACATAACCCTGTTAGAAGAAAATCCAACTGGTTCCCTAAATTGTTTTTCAGCTGATGTTTGCCTTAACGTAATTTACTGGTATCTTGGAATCGGTAAGTGTAGTCGCATTTAGCAAGTCTAATGATTTCATCCTGTACGAAAAGAAAACATCAAATTAAAAGATGTTAAAAGTAATTTGTATAACAATAAGATTTTGAAAATTCAAATTTAATCAAATCCAAACATGCACTAATTTGAATTCCGTATAATTTAAGGAAATTAGTTAATGTTTTTATCTTCATTACGTTTCTATAAAATATTTCATGTTAAAGGAATCTCTGGGTATGAGCTAATTGATTTATTTTTATACTAACATAAATAGCAGGAATGTCCAACTTAAGAGAATTTTATATATTCATCCATTCCTGGCAAATTAGCTACAGTTCGAAAATCAAAAATTTGATAAATATTTATATATACTTATCAACGGCTTTTTTGTGTACTCTTTTACAAAGAAACTTTAGGTTCAAAGCAAAGGTTTCTTAGAAACTGCCATGATAATAAGGGTTTTTTTTTGGGGGGGAATTATAGATTTGAATATTGCAGTGAATACTCGGTTAAATTGTTTAGGTGGTTAAATTTTAACAAAGTCAACACAAGGAAGTTTGGGAAAACAGTTTATTGTATGAAGGAACACAGAAACGAGAATTAGACGATCATAATCTGTTTTTGAAATTATAAAACATTACCAATAGAACATTTTTAGAAGCGAGACTGTATTTTAATTGCTACTGTACCTTAACTTCACATCTATTTATTTGCAAAACAATTTCATTAATGGCGTTAGTAAAATAAAGAAATGGAAAGTAAGTAACCTAAAATACCTTGACTAGATGTTTTAGCCTCACTACAGAATCGTTTTGAAGTTCCTTGCAGTTACTTGATCGTTTTCCAGGCCTCCATCCTCGAGGAAAGGTAATTTGTGACGTAACTTGGTTGACGACGAAGAGTGTAATTAGAAGATAGATCAGAAAATAACTCTTTCTGGACATTGTTGTAGTGCTTAAATATGGGTAATCAAATATAAATTTAAATTTTTTGTTTAATTACAAATCTTAAATGAATACCATTATGATTCCTGTAAACTACATGCCCTCCTCATACAAGACAGTAAAAAGCACGCTCCGACAACCCTATATTTCAAAGCAAGTCCTTTAACTCTTCAATACAACGGGTTTCCCTTTTGTTAATCTATTTTTCCTTAATGTTTGTATAAGTAAAATATTCTAAAGGCAACATTTGAAAGTGGGAAAACCTTTAGAGGATATCACGATTGCGGTGTGAAAATTAATACATTTTTATGGATTGCTCTTCATTAATTACTAAATATCAGTAACTTTTTTGTTTATTTAGAGTTACATTCACGAGTTAGCTAGCTTTCTTTTCATTCAAGTTATTTGAAACACTTTCTTTACCGAAACCTTAAGAAATTAAAACGTTATTTGAAACACTTTCTTTACTGAAACCTTAAGAAATAAAAGTTATTTGAAACACTTTCTTTACTGAAACCTTAAGAAAGTAAGAAGCTATTTGAAACACTTTCTTTACCGAAACCTTAAGAAATTAAGAAGTTATTTGAAACACTTTCTTTACTGAAACCTTAAGAAAGTAAGAAGTTATTTGAAACACTTTCTTTACTGAAACCTTAAGAAAGTAAGAAGTTATTTGAAACAATTTCTTTACTGAAACCTTAAGAAAGTAAGAAGTTATTTGAAACACTTTCTTTACTGAAACCTTAAGAAATTAAGCCTCTATCTTCAGTTAAAGTTTTGTTTAATAATAAAGCTTGTTATCCAATGTTTTAGAAATATCTTTCGTCTCTTCTCAGATTCCTGCTAATTTTGAAATTACTTCATTTCGTTTCTGCTATGGGAAGTCTCAAGGCATATAGTTCATTAGACTAAATCTATCAAATCAAGTTTTTGAACACCTATGTTAACCAATGAACAAAAGTAAGTTTCTTTGAACTTCCTGTTAAGATAATGACAACAGTTTTGTTGATGAGAAGAAGCTAGCTATACCACTTACCGTTGTGCTCTGATGAGATCCACTAACCGAACTATTCAGCCTCGATATTGTATCTTGTCCAAAACCTAAAGATGGAATCTCTTATATACATTGTGACGTATCACGTGATTACTATGATCTATACTGTTTTTGAAATGGAATAAATTTGCACATGCGCAAGATGCCAAGATGGGTGTCTTCTTTAAGAAAATATATATCGTGGGTAATAATTACGAAATAAATTGTTAGTTGAACCATACCGGAATTTTTTATAGTTATGTTTTTAATAAAATAAATTAGTGACTACATGACCATGCAAGAATTTTTTTTCGTGAAGTAAATTATCTAGTTGTAAAACATTCCAACAGCAGTTACGTCGTAAAAAATTATGTTTTAAAGATATTTTATTCAACGATAAAGGTACAAAACAATCTTTAAAGTCAGATTAATAATAAAAATTAGCTTTATTTCAAATTATTTATATTTTGAAACACACATTACTTGAAAGTTTTTTCTCATAATCTCAGAATGTTTCTAAATATTATATCAATATCTAAAATTTGAACAATTACTTCTAATTCAGCCATCACCTGAGGTCTGAGAATATAAGTCGTTTCTGATTAAGCTATAATATTCCTTTCAAAATTAAAATAACATTTTATCTCGCAGTCTCATAAAAATGGGCTATTTTTCCGAAGTTTGAATAGTAGTCAAAAATATAGTAACACTGTGTTTCAAAAAGGTAATTTCAGAAATCCAATAAATAAAGGCTTGTTTGAATGTTTAAGTCATGGTGTTGGTTACAACGAAGGCTTTTTTTTATTTATTAGAAATGTATTATGAATCATAACAACATAACTTTAGATTTGTTTAAGATAATTTAGGATTCATAGCAGTGAAATTTGGATATACGTTTAGGTTCCCTTAAGAGTCATGATAAACGTGTGTTAATTTCATTTATTTTTGTTATGAGTTATAGAAAACCACTATAAATGTGTTTTAATTCTATTGGGAGTCAAACAAACAAACCTAAGTTTAACTTAGTTGTATTAGGAGTCATAACAGATTCT